CCAAAACAGAAGTTTTCTCTATTAATTTATTTTCTATTCAGATGCTAAAAATTTTATGTTTAGTGAGTGTTTTCATTATGTACAGGAATATATATTACTGTTTTACTTACATGGTATGCTTTGGCATATTATTTCAGCCTGATGTTCAGGTTGCTGGAATTCACCTTCTATTTCTGTACTTTGTATATCCATGGTAGGATAGTATTTACTTGAACCAAGAGCCCTAGTAAATTTATTGAAAGTTTACAAAAGATTGCTGTATAGTGACATGTGCCAATATAAGGTGTAGGGATCTTTTCCGTTCCAGTGCTTAAGAGGGACTTTTGGGTTATGTTAGCTCCTGTGAAAAATAACTGTTTTCCTTATAGAGTTTAACAGGATGGATCTGGAACCCAGAGTTTTACCTATGGGTTAAGAAAGCCAAATGAAACAGAAAAATCTGATGTTAATTTTTAAACTACTTGGAGTTAAAAGTGATACACTGCTAGAAAATGGTGGAAGTAGCTTTCTAAAACATTGGTTATCTAAACATGTTTGCTTCTAAATGTCTCAATTATGGTTACATATTAGATGTAATTTGGAACATTTCCATAGAAGAAGCCAGCCTGGGACTAGATCATACCCCTACTATGTAATGCCTTAATAAGACGTGCAAAAGCCTTCTCTCCTGCAGGATCAGAAAGAGGCTTTTTGCTTAAGACAGTCACGCTGCCTGAAAGCACAAGTAGAGAGGAAGAACCTTCTTTCTGGGCACAACATCATCACTGCTCATTCACCTCTCTCTATGTGGCAGGCAGCACACCTGGTTGGCACAAAAGAGTGGGGCCAAACCACAGCTCGTTTGGCCACATGCAAGTTTTCCCAATTTAACACCTGACATTTGAAAATGAAGTAAGATGCGCTGGTTATTTTTTGCAGTTCTTAACCTCACAATAGACATTTGTCTTCATGTTATAAATAGCAGTTTCTCTCTTGTATAAAGGAATTTCATTTAAATATTTAAATATATTGCTGTTTGGAGGCTAATTCTTACTTTTTGTCTTTTAGTTGTGCAAGATTTTCTTAAATTATGCAATAAATTTGCCATTACTGGTATTCAATTGTAGTAGTATTTTTGACAGCTTGCGCATCCATATGAAGGACATTCTTTCCCAGGACTTTTCTTGAGGATTCAAAAGGGGCACTGTCTTTGGGTACATTATACTATATCTTTTTCTTTACAAGTGCACCTACATGCCACAGGACAAATTTGGACCACTGCTTGCCTAAGTGCTGTATGAGATGGAACTGTTGAATGCACCACTGTAATGTGTTGTAATTAATTTCATTTTCACTTAATGTATTTGTAAGACAGGCCTGATTCTGAATTCTCTCACTTAGCTCCTGAGTTAAAGGAGCAAGATGTCCCCAACTATCTCCAATTTTCCTTTCAAAATCTACCAACCTTTTTCCTTTTACCTATATTTTAAGGTGATTAAAAGTCTGCAGTAATTTTGTATGGCTTCTTTACCTCTGGCTTGTCTGAAATAGGTCAGTATCTCAGCATATCCCTACAGCTACAATCACATTGAAAATTCAGCACAAATTCCAAAATTTCTTTACCTTTGAGGAGTTTATAAATTTATGTCCTATTTAATCTGTTTCAGCCAAGCTTCTAAAGTTGTACACAGGAATTGAAAATGTTTATAGATCCTATTGGTGGATACAGATACCAGAGACAGAAATAACTGTTTGTTTAGTAGTGATTTACTACACAAAGACAAAACCCACCATACAGAAATCAGTAATCAATTTGAAGATTCCCAGGAGAATGCCTAGCTAAGAAACAACAAACAGACATAAAGTAAACAGGAAAAATGATGGAGGAAAACTCAGGTGGATAGAGTTGGAGAGGAGATGATAGAAGGATAAAAAACTCCTCCAGAAATGCCTGCAATAGGAGCAAGACAGGCAGAAAATGAAGTAGAAACACAGCAGGAAGACAAACTTAGTCCTGTCAAATTAACTGCAACTATCTTTCCTCTCTATGACCAAATGTGCCTGTGCAAAGCGAGCTCAGAGTGAGAATGAGCATTTGCTGCCTGGTGGGCCTGCTCTGAGCCACTGCTGCACCAGTTCTTATCCCCAGACCTTCTCTTCCTGTCTTTTCTCTCTCCTGATAAACACATGGCATTGCCCATCTTTTCATTTACAGCAGATTAGGCTCACTTCTCTACACCAGTCTCCTGCAATTAGTTTCTGAAATCCTCTGATGTCTCCCAGTGATGTTTTCCCTTCAAACTCCAACTCTGGGTTCCTCATCTCTGCAAAAGTCACACAAAACTCCGCACCAGGGCTCCCTGCTCCCCGGTACACCCACGTACAGCTGGCAAAAGGGATATAAGAGCCAGAGTTTCACCTGCAGCTGGGGCATTCTGCTCCGCAGATGGGTGCTGTGCCGTGGAGTGGGCAGTCACTTAGTGATTTCCCATTCCCACACTGGATAGTCATCACGGTTCAGTTGGGAATCGCTTGGGTGACCGGCAATTCAACAGGACACACAATAGCAACTTTTATACACGTTACTGCGAAACCAACATCAGAAGAGCTCCAACACTCCCACCTAGTGGTGTAAGAGGATAATGCAGCGTTTACAAAGTTTGAAGTGACACTTAAATACTATTACTGTAACAAATACTGCCTTCTAGTTGCTTGCTAAACGAAAAAGGTTTCGTGTAACGCGTCCAAACATCTACTAGCATCTTTGCAAGAAAATAGAAAATATTTTTTTAAATATTATTTTCTGAATATATTTTTGAAAAAATATACTAATTTTCAAAAGTGCTTAAAATTCAGATGCTAGCCTACATTCTTTTTATATTTAATGACAAATATTAGCAAACGTTCATTTTAGGCAGAAAAAAAATTCTTGTTTAAACTCAAACTGTTTCATGGACTCTATCTTGACAGAAGAAGCAGTCATTGTGAGAAAAACCTCAGGGATGGTGCCCTGAATATATAACATCATAAACCCCCCCCCCTAAATCCACTCCTTACATTGCAGCATGACAACAGGTTAAATGCGATTTTTCTCTCTGCTTATTTTATACTTATATTTTCCTTACTTATACAATAGTCTCCTACCTTGCATCTGATGCATCCGTGGATTTCCCTCCTTCTTTGTCTCACCCCAAGGAAGGTCTCATTCTTCCACCTTCCTGTCCTAAAGGAACACAAAGCTCGCTGTGAGCACCTAAGCCAGACGTCCCAGCCTTTATGGCTCAATAACAGAAGCTGTTCACAGTCAAGTTACCATATAGGGTGGCACAGGGTTAGGTCACCCTTTCCCACTCCATTCCTAGGCAACTCATCTCTTATTAGTGCAAGACGTTGTCCCTTGCAGTGTTCACATCTCTTTGCTTTTGCCTTGCTATGTATTTTACCAGTAATTTCTTTCTGGCATAAGAGCTACTAGTTACAAGAGGTTATCAGAAGGAGAAACTCTTTCATCCTGTTCATTATACATGATATACAGTATCATTTGGCCTACGTTCAGTTGTGCTACATCTCAAAGGATTTTCAACAACTCAGATTCCTTCCTTCCTCTCTCTTTTCGACCACCTCAGCCCTGCCCGTATATATTAAACCAAGCTGATCTTCATCCTAGCAAGTCTGCTGACACTGCCTGCCAGCAAGGCAGGAGTCTGAGGTGCAGGAAAGATTGCCAGCACCAAGGTCCAGCTGAGAGCTTAACTGTATTACAGAGTTACCCTCCTTGGTCTGCTCCTAAAGGAACAGTTCTGATATTAGCTGAGAAGCACTCAGGAGCATCTCCCAAGCTTTCAAACTACACAGCAGAGCCCAATGCTTGCTGCTTTACCCTGACCTTTGTTAGAGAGCTTAGTCAGTAGTATAAAGCTCAACGTAGAGCAATTTGGAGTAGAAGGAAGTTACAATTCAAAGCCAAGCCCAGAGTCAGCTTTACACACGTGAATGTAAGCACAGTACTTTGATTTACTAGTACTGTCACCCCTTTCACTTTCTCTCTTCTACTCCTTCCACTTATTTTCCATAGTCTTCATGCATACACATTAACCCCTGGGAAAGAAAATTTTTTAGGAGTGTAGAAGTTTGCTTCTGTAGCCAGGTCTATAATTTAGAAGACTTTATAGATCTATGCTTGAGTACTTACCCTAGAAACAGTGCAAAATTGAACCTTGTTAAACTCCTTCCATCCACCAGCAACACGGTAGTACCTTGTGGGGCACTTGGTATTTCTGAGGCACTGATCTTGTCTCAGTAAGCTAGACCAGTTACAAAGTCACCAGTTGCTATGTCACAGGGCCATATGATTTGTCTGAATCACACACTACAACTGCCTAAATCTGGGTAATTACTGAAGGACAGCAATTGTATCTGTGAACAACATGAAACAACCTCAGACAGCCTTACCTTTGAATAGCAATGAACCAGGGCGATTCCTCTGTAGGAGCAAAAAGCCTCAGCTAAGCCCTCTACTGATATTTAAGCTCAGCCCAAGCTTGTTAGCATACATCAAGCACCCATCCCCACTTCAATGCTTGGGTTGCAGTGAAAAGTTCTCAGCTGTGCTTGAAGCATAGGTTTTCTGATGGATTCATGTGTGCTGTGGATTTCAGCAGCAAAAGCTTTAAAACTGGGAACTAGTCAAATGTTTACTAACTAAAACTAACTGGAAATCCATTAAAATGTTGAGAAATGGTTTCAAATTTCAGCTTTCTTGGTCTTAATCTCCAATTTAAGCCGCCTTCTGGGATTAAGCCAGCTCTACATATCACAGAGATGGCTGTGCTTTCAGGAAAGATCTGTTCCTACCGCTGTAGGGGTGTTTATAAAAGGAGAAAGTCCTCTTGTACCAGGCTCCAAAATAGGAGTTTAGAGGATGTAATCCCAGATAA